AGCTTTTGAAATAAACAGAATCTCCAAAATAGTGAAAAATGTTTTACCTGTGATATGAAAGTCCTTGAATCTGAAGTATATTATAGTTCCCACTTTTGTGAGAACCCAGAGACACAACTCCACCCTCAGAGTCAAATAAATGTCTCTACAGCACTTTCTTGTCTCGTTGTAGTATTTTAGACCAGGGTCTTTCACTGCAGTATATGAGGTCTTTATCAACATGTTTTGCTTTTGTAGCTTTTGCTAATAACCTGCATTTCAGTTACTAAATAATGCTTTTCAGAGGGATTTTATTGCATTTGCAAAACACGCTAACATGTGAATATCAAATTTATATACCTGTAAGAAAATTTCCAAAACAATGAGGCGAAGCTAAATCATTAATAAATTGAGGATAAGTGTGATACTGCACTATAGATCTTTATCAACAATTTTTTTCTTTTATAGATTTTGCTTGAGTTTAATCACAAGAAATACATGTTAGTGAAATGTATATGCAAGTATATAATACATGTATATAATACAATAAAGACAGGCATATAGAGGTCATCTATATCAGTTAGTTAGTTTGGTTGTTTGGTTTGCCCCTTTAATTTGGTACAGTGTTTTGGGTTTTCCTGTCACTGTGGACTGCAGGGCACAGTAGTACAGAGCAGAGTCTAATACTGAAGCAGAGGAGATCTCCAGATCCACAAGGTTTTTCTCCTCATTTAATTTAGCAAACACTCCAGGTATTGGAGGGTCAGCTGGCTGCTCAAGTTGGGCTTCACTAACCAGAAACAAAAACTCTGGTTTGGAGCTGCTGTATTGACGATACCACAGGAGAGAATCACTATTGTAAGTCCCCTCATAATAGCAGGTCAAAGTAATGGAGTCACCATTGGTAACAAGTTCAGACGAGGAGAGAGGAGCTATTCCTTCTCCACATGCATCACCTGAAACTTTAAACTGAACTGAAACTGAAACTGACTTTATTTTGGAATGGTTACTCAAAGGATTCCATATAAATGTCACATATCGTACCTGAAAAGAGAAGAATGAATCAGACACTGCATAGAAACATCATGGATCATCACAAGCAGCTCAAACTTTATACCTCACAGACTCTGACTGATTTTGTGCACATTTCCTTTTTCGAACTGTTACAGCAACTGAAGATTTAAATCTTCTGTAATGTGAGTGAACACTGCCATCTGCTGTACATTTTTGTTATTGCTTTACTAATTACTTTGCATTACTAATTGCAGTAGCTATTTAAGGACAAGTAGTTTGACTGATGCAGACAGTATATTTGACTTTAGATTCTGTTGATTTTATACCAGTCAACTGAGTTTATACAGGATGAAATTTAAACATCACTGTTAATCTGTTAATCTGGCAAGGTTTCTGTTTTATGAGACATACGACTGGAAATAATGCCACCATGTGGCTGCAATAAAGAATTTACATTTTTTTCCTCTGTTATTGCAACAGAACCTTTAGCAATTACACTTTTCATTATGGAGATCTTTCAAATCAAATGGAAAAATAACATCATTGATGTAAAATGAAACACAAAAGGGGAGTTGACATGGAATACTTGGGAATATGACACATCCAATGATGGGACATGCTATACTGTGTTGAAAACTATTTAATATAGCATTATTATGCATGCCATGTTTATGACCATATTAAGTGGGAGGCATAGAATATTTGCACTTTTAAATGTAATTTGTTACACCACAGGGCTGTTTAAAATAAACTAGAGCGAGGTCAACAAGGGTGATTTAAATTGGCAAAAAACGTAAAGAAAATGGTGATCCATCACAGTACATTACGTTTTATCTTTCCCTTATACATTCATATGAATTTGAACCTAAAATCTTGCCCCAAAAGTCATGCCTATTCATTTCAAAGTCAATTTGATCATATTTGTGTTGAAATATCCAATATTTTTACATTCTTTATTTATGAAATATCTTAAGCATTTTGTTTGAATTTCAATTACTTGTTCAATCTGCAAGCAGAAATGAGGCTATGACAAAAGAATGGAGATTCAGTAGTTTTTTTTTTCCACTTCATAGAGGTTTTTGTAAATATATAAAATATATTATGCTATATATTATAATGTATTCAAATATTATAACATTTGAATAAAACTGACCAAAATCTTTTAAAATCTTTTTTTAAGCATATTATCACAGTGAAGGTAAACCAATCAGAACGTTTTAAGGACACGTTTATTTTTTTAGTTATATTATTGTCATATAGGACATTTAACATTACATGATAAGGACTTCCTATAGTGGTTTTTGTACAGTGTTCTTGTGTTTCCTGACACTGTGGGCTCCAGAGCACAATAGTACAGTGCTGAATCTGTGACTGCAGCAGAAGAGATCTTCAGATGAACCTGCTTCTCCACCTTATTCACACTGGCATTCAGTCTTGGGAAAGGTGGTTCTGCATGTAGTACGCTGTTTGATTCATTTGACCTTTGCTGAGTTTTTCGTTTAGTTGTTTTCCCCTTCATTTTGTACAGTGTTGATGTGTTTCCTGTCACTGTGGGCTGCAGGGCGCAGTAGTACAGAGCAGAGTCTGTCACTTTAGCAGAGGAGATCTCCAGATCCACTTGCTTATCGTTCATACTCATTTTTCCATCAATTCCAGGGATACGGGGATCTGCATATGTTACATGTTTTGTAGATGACTCAATGACAAGGAGCACAAATTCAGGTTTGGATCCAGGATACTGTCGATACCAATGCAGACTGTTTACACTCCCATCATATTTGCATGAGAGCATGACCGGCTTCTTTTCAGTGACATGAATGTCGTTCTGCAGTGGTCTTATTGACTGTGCAAATATATCTGCATGGAATAGAAAGCTTTCAGTTAGAAATAATAACAAGATAAAACTTTCACAAAATGTAAATCGCATAGCAAATGGTGAAATGTTTAATTAATTACTATGATCTGGCATAAAAGCTTGTTAATACAATTACTATTACATCTTTAAACAAAGCTATATGGTACTGTATGTCACTTACATTCTGTTACTGAAAACACAAGCAGGCAGCACAGAAGCATCATCTTTGCACCACAAATAGCGAATGAAAACTGCATACACATATGAATTTTTGTGAGATCCTTTAAAAGCTCCACCCATAGCATGTATAAATGAAAACATTCAGAGATATCATTGTCAGTGTGTCAGATTCAGTTTGAATATTGTTTCATTAACTGAAGATGTGGCTGCAATTCTGTAACAGAATTCAATGCCAAGCTCAAGAAGCAGAAATTCAGGTCTGGATCCAGGATATTGTCGATACCACTGTAAAGTACGTGCTTGGCTATCATATTTGCATGAGAGAATGACTGTCTCTCTCTCAGTGGCACGTTCTGTGGTCTGCAATGGTGCTATTGACTGGGCAAAAGATTTACCTGCAAATAGAGCATGAAAAAAAATACACAGAATGTTCAGCCATTGTCTACAGTAAAAAGTTATGAAAAATTGAATTTTTTTATCAAGTAATTTACATAAATAGTTTTTTTTTTTTTTGGTAAATGTATTTATATAAGAATTTATATAAGATCTAAAATAATTAAATTAAATTAAACCTACTCACCCTGTATGGCTAAAATTACAAGTAAGTACAAAAGAGAAGTCATTTTTGCTCTGCTGAAGAACAGATTGAAGTAAAATTAGAGATGAATGCCAACCCAATATCTTGAAGCCCCACCCACATAATCTCTGTGTGATTTTGATTACATAAAATGTCATACTCTCAGAAAAAAAGGGTGCATATTAGATATTAGTGCCTAGGGTATACATATAAAAACTTTTAAAAGGATACCGACCCAGTAAGGACTTTTGTACTTTTTTTTTCTTCTTCCGGAGAGTGTACGTGTGAAAATCCATTTAGACTATTAATATGTAGTTTTTCATTTGAGAAAAGGTAGAGGCTGGTAGATTTATCATCATCACATTTGGCTTCATATCAAAATGGCAATTTTTTGACAACAAACTTGAGTGGGTAAAGCACAAGTGATTACATCACAGATTAGTTAATGCTTTAGTAATTAATGATTTATCAATATTTTTGTATTTATACTCCAATCTCTGAAATGCAGTAATGAGAAGATTAAGAAAAAATGTCATCATTGTGCAGCATAACATAATAGCAATGCACTAGATGCGCTGACAAAATTAGGACTAAAATGTGTCAAAATGTAGACTGTATACTGGTGAGAACTGTTAGTTTACTAAATGCTTGTCCTTAAATTCTGGTTATACTGTATGTGTTTCAGTATTCTGTTTTCTTGAACACAAGGTCAGTTGCTAAGGAGACAATCATAAGACAATTGAAACTCAAAATCTCATGATTAATCATTGGCTCTCAAATGCTGGATCAAAATGCTGAAACATAAGCACGCATAATCATCCACTGAGCACAGACACTGAAAACAGATTGCAGCTTCTATTTTAATGTGTCTGATTTTTGTACAGTGCATGTGTGTTTCCTGTCACTGTGGGCTGCAGGGCACAGTAGTACAGAGCAGAATCAGTTAATGCAGTGCCAGTGATCTCCAGATCCACACGATTTTTCTCCTAATTTAATCTAGCAGATATTCCAGGAATTGGAGGAGCAGCTGGTTGCTTAAATGCAGCTTACTAAATGCTTGTCCTTAAATTCTGGTTATACTGTATGTGTTTCAGTATTCTGTTTTCTTGAACACAAGGTCAGTTGCTAAGGAGACAATCATAAGACAATTGAAACTCAAAATCTCATGATTAATCATTGGCTCTCAAATGCTGGATCAAAATGCTGAAACATAAGCACGCATAATCATCCACTGAGCACAGACACTGAAAACAGATTGCAGCTTCTATTTTAATGTGTCTGATTTTTGTACAGTGCATGTGTGTTTCCTGTCACTGTGGGCTGCAGGGCACAGTAGTACAGAGCAGAATCAGTTAATGCAGTGCCAGTGATCTCCAGATCCACACGATTTTTCTCCTAATTTAATCTAGCAGATATTCCAGGAATTGGAGGAGCAGCTGGTTGCTTAAATGCAGCTTCATTAACTAGAAACAGGAAGTCTGGTCTGGATCTCGGGTACTGACGATACCAGTGGAGAGCATCTGTAGCAGCTGATCCATTGTAATTGCAGGACAGGGTGATTGTGTTCCCTTCTAAAACAAATTCATTAGGAGAGACTGGTGCTATTCCCTCACTAGAGGCATCGCCTAAGAGAAAGAGAGGAAGAATGATGGAAATAATGAATGGAGATGAACAGAATTACAGAAGTAAAGTATGTTATATTGTTTTGTTCTTAAGGTGTGTTTGTTTGATTAATTGCATTTATCTTACCTGTTATTAGGGAGATAAACCACAGACAAAATAGGAATAGCATTACCGAGAAGGAACAGATGAGCAACTATGTTTGAAACCTCCTCCCTATGTTTGTATCTCCTCCCCTTATTAGCCATTTGAAGAATTGGTTCAGTTTTTAATTCTTTTCTTTTTTTTTTTTTAGATGAAGAGCTCCCTCTTGTGGATAATTTTAGCCATCACATCACAAGTGTCTGTCCATACATTGGCCAGGGGAAACGCGTCTCGGTAAAATAGTCAAATAGAATCAAATCCAGTGAGGATAATTGTGAATATTTGAACTCTCCTTTCTTAAGGAACAAGAAAATCAGCTGGCTGTAGTTTGTATTACATTTTACAGTAAACACTCAAAACAGGAAAATGTGCCACCTTGTGGTTTTTTTTTTTTGAGCAAGTTTATAATGGTGTTGTTTAGCTACAACTAAATGTATGTATGCTGTATGGAAGCTGACTTTGTTGTTAAATTGTTGTCTTTATTGTTTAGTTTATCTTATATTTTAGTCGTAGGGTTAGTTGCATGTAGGCCTAGATATATCTATGTTTAATAACACACCTCTGTGTGTTTTTTTTTAATAAATGCTACCTTTCTTTTACTTACTTTTTCTGTCCAAATCTGAAAGAAAACATGCCAGGACCTACTATTATAGTAATGAACGAAACGTAGACAAGCATTTGATTGGCAGATAAAAAATGCAATACGGTCCCTGAATAAACAGGATTTTACAGTGTATTTAATTCAACCGCTCATTTAATGTTAATGGTACGACCAATTTCAGGGGTGGCCAAAACTTTGATTTAAAATCAGTAAGAGCTTGAAATGTAACTTCATATTTTACAGGCAAAGCTTAGTATTACAAGTAGACTGCTTTTTATGAACACCGTTTGTTTATTCCATATGGAGTATGATTGGAGGTTTTTGTACAGTGTTGTCATGTTTTCTGTCACTGTGGGCTGCAGGGCGCAGTAGTACAGAGCAGAGTCTGTCAGTTCAGCAGAGGAGATCTCCAGATCCACTCGCTTATCTTTCATACTCATTTCACCATCCAGTCTAGGAATAGGGGGATCTGCATATACTACAGTTTTCCTGGATGACTCAACGACAAGGAGCAGAAATTCCAGTCCTGATCCTGGATATTGTCGATACCAAAGTAAATTCTGTACACTGACGTCATATTTACATGACAGATTAACTGGCTTCCCTTCAGTAACTTGTGTTCTGTCCTGCAGTGGTGTTATTGTCTGTGCAAAGCATCCATCTGCAAAATGTTTAGAACATATTGATAAAAAGAATGAAAATTGTACAGTATCATAAGCAAGAATAAATGCTGTTGAATTATCGCAAAATATTAATATATATATATATATATATATATACATACATACATACATACATACATACATGCATGCATATATATATATATATATATATTATAAACTTGTCTTTTACTTACATTGAATTATAGACAGCAGAAGCAGAGTGCACAGGAACATCATGACTGCACTGTAAAAACCAAATGAAGCTCATAATTGAGAAATGAATGTCTTTGTTGAATCTCTCTCAAAGCTCCACCCACAATCTAAAAAAATCTGTAAAAATAGGGCAATGTACTGTATTAAAATTACGAATTATGTTTAAATGTTTCAATGAAATTGGCCAGAATGAATGAATAACAGAGAACGAAAGAGAAAAGAATGCATGATTTTATCTGGGTTTGATTACATGTTGTAAAATCATGCTGAATTTCAAATTTGGAAGTTTATTTGTGTCATATTCAGTTGGAAGTTCTTCTTTCTCTATTTGTTTTTTTACAGTAGTGCTAATTTTTTCCCAATTGATTTGTTTTACATTTTTAATTTTTGAAGTGTATTTGTAACTCATTCTCAAGTGTGTTTTCCCTTTTGCAAAAAAACAAAAACAACAAAAAAGTGGATGTATAGCTTTAACGTACATGTCTATTTCAGTTTCAGACAGCTGCAGGTGTTACCACAAACTCATTATGTCCTAATTTGACTGTTACCTATATCAGGTTTGGTGATTCCTCTGCACTTCAGAGGCAGCACTAATACAGACAGAGATGAATATCAGTTTAAACTAGAACAGTGCTAGAAATGAGTTATTCTTGGACATCAAAGCACAGTGACAACCTAAGCTTAGTAAGATGAGAAGCTGCGGCTTAACAGCATTTTACTTTGCACAATGAAATTAGCGCAGCAATACACAAATTCAACTGAACTGATTCAGCACAGTGATTATTGAGTATATGCGTGAGAAGTTGAGAAACATGTATTCACAGTGCTTCACTTGTTAAATACATTTCTCTCTGCTTCATGTTTTCGTGCAGTGTAGCTTTGTTTCCTGTCACTGTGGGCCTCAGGGTGCAGTAGTACACAGCAGAGTCTGATACTGCAGCAGAAGAGATCTCCAGATCCACTTGTTTTGTGTTTTTATTCATTCTTGGCATTAAACGCTGTGGTATGTTTTCACTCATCGGCCCACTTTCATAGATGTAGAGGAGGAACTTTGGTGTAGATCTGGGATATTGACGGTACCAATGGAGATGATCAGGTACTCCACTGTAGTTACATGTGAGTGTTACATTTTTACCTTCTAAAACTTGTTTTTGTGAGTCATGGGACGTTATCATGTTTGTCAGGATGTTACCTATGAGAATCAAAAATAAATAAATGAAATAAACAAGAAAAAAACATTGAATCAGACAATAAAAGTATTTTCACTGATCACAATCTATTAATTAAATTAAGTCATTAGTTCTGAGAAATGAATCAAAACTCACCTATATGAAGAAACAAAATGAGAAAGACAGGAAGGCACATGTTGGTTGATACTCTGACAGTGACAGTGATGTGATTCCACATTAGAAAATAAACCAAGTCAAACTACTGTAAGTCAAAGTAATCTTAGAGCTCCACCTCTTGACACAGTGTTGTACCCAGTGTGAGAAAAAAAAACCCACATTAACACTCAAGATTTTACCATTGCAGTTCTTATTTATATATGACAGGAGTTGATGCACAGACACTGTTCTGGGACAATATGGCTTTGACATGGCATGGCATGAGAGCAAACCGTTTAGAGACTAAGCACAAAAAATATCCACACTGTATATAATTAAAAGACATGCAATATATTTTGTGTAAACAAACGAGAATTAGAGAAGAACAATGTTAAAAAAACTACACATGCAAAAATTAGTCTTCACCTATAGTTCTAAAGAACTATGCACTAAAGTCATTGGTGACTAAATTCTGCAGTGAAGATTTACATATTATTTGCATGCATAAGAAATTGTAAAACGTTTGCTGGTCTGTGTGAAATTGACGTCACATGATTAAAATCTCCAACCTGATCTCACGGGAAAACCTAGCAATTTTACAAGGTGGCAATTTCGTATGAATTCACAGAGTTCATAAATATGAATTTAACTGTCAGATTCATTTACCCGTTAACCTTTACTGACCCTTTTCACAAGGAGAGAAATAAACAGTGAAAAATTTGTTTTAAGAACATAATTTTACGCTCTTTAATAATAATACATGGTCTTCTTTAATGATTCTCTACCTCATTTTAATCTAATAAAATAATGGCAGTGCATTCACTTTAATTGGTCAGCCATACAGTAGTTTCAACACTAAATAATGAATACTTTAATAATAATAATAAAAATGTCCTGAACAGTATAATTACTGTGTGAATCAGAATAGATGTGAAACATGTATATTCAAGAGGATGCAGTGTTTCTATGGTTTTAGTATATTTTTCAGTACTTTAATGTGCTTTGTTAAGCCAGATTTAGGTTTTTGTACGGCGCTGCCGGGTTTCACTGTGGGCTTCAATGAACAGTAGTAAACTGCAGAGTCTGTTAATTTCGCAGAGGAGAGATCTCCAGATTGACAGAGGTTTTCTTTTCATTTAATTTCACGGACATGCCAGGCTGCATGGTTTCAGACTCCCCGCTGTTTTGTAGTATCAGAAGAAGGAAATCTGGAGCTGATCTTGGATATTGACGATACCAGTACAAAGAAAGGGCTGGGGAGTAGTTGCAAGACAGTGTTATTTTATCCCCATGCACCTCAGTTTGGACAGGAGTGATGACATCTCCACAGTGGCCAGCTGAAAAAGAGAAATGAGTATTTGTGTAGGTTTGTTATGGTGTTGTATTCTGGTTGACCTCCGTGAACCTGACCTCAGGAGGATTTATTGTACAGGTCTAAGGAAGATGATCTCATTAAGAAGAATCTGAAATATTTGTGGTTACAAGATTAAAGGTATTAAAATTAAACAGAAATTGAGATACTCACCTCCGAATGTAGATAGAAAACCAAGTAAACAGAGCAGCATTGTTCAGGCCAATGTTCTGACTGACAGCTCAGCTTGTAGCTAATCTATTTCAAAAACACATCCTTAGGGTGGCCTAGATGGTGTCAGAACACTAAAGCCCCTCCTACTGACCCCAAACACACGTTTTAGGTCTAGAGTTGGGGGTCCAGTTTTCAAAAAAAGCCTCTAAATTATTTACAGAACAAACATATTAAAATAAGAAATTTAAGTTGAATATTATATTTTATTATACAACAGAATCAGACTTAACTCAAAACCCAAATTCATCACAAAACAGAATACATCTCACGTAATGTGACTAAACTCGGTGACAGACTTTGTTTCATACCTGTACCTAATTGTAGTTTTAATCTCTAATGCTAATACATTTTTTTTAACAGTTTGAATGGTTTGGATTTATGTTATATAAATATATTTATATATATTGTCTGAGTAATTACATAGATATTTGGGCAATATTTATAGAGCAATATCTGTATATGTACATGTTCTGCATTTCAACACTAGCTAATCTATTTCAAAAACACATCCTTAGGGTGGCCTAGATGGTGTCAGAACACTAAAGCCCCTCCTACTGACCCCAAACACACGTTTTAGGTCTAGAGTTGGGGGTCCAGTTTTCAAAAAAAGCCTCTAAATTATTTACAGAACAAACATATTAAAATAAGAAATTTAAGTTGAATATTATATTTTATTATACAACAGAATCAGACTTAACTCAAAACCCAAATTCATCACAAAACAGAATACATCTCACGTAATGTGACTAAACTCGGTGACAGACTTTGTTTCATACCTGTACCTAATTGTAGTTTTAATCTCTAATGCTAATACATTTTTTTTAACAGTTTGAATGGTTTGGATTTATGTTATATAAATATATTTATATATATTGTCTGAGTAATTACATAGATATTTGGGTCAATAATCCAGATATTATAGAGCAATATCTGTATATGTACATGTTCTGCATTTCAACACTTCTCTATTCACAGTACAAATGCTGCTTTATTAAATCTATGAATCTCTTGGTTTTGGCTACTGTATCAGTTGCAGGTGTTCCCACATACAGTAATGGTTTTGGCAGATAATACATTTTGGTTTGGCTAATACTTTGATGATTTTGAGTTCAAAGTATGTGTGTTTTTGTAAAGCTTCTCAGACACTTTGTATCACTGGGTCTTTCCAAAGAGCACAGTAATAGAGAGCTGAATCTTTCAGAGTAGCTGCTTTAATAATCAGTTCAGTGGAGGTTCTGGTTGTAGAAGATTCAAAATGAGGATCTGGTATATCACTCTCATCATTTCTTGATCGTGCACCTTTCCACAGTATATACTGTAGCTCACTGTTAGGATACTGTCTGTACCAATAAAGATCAACATATTCACTGCTTGTTTCATACGAGCAACTCAATGTCACACGGTCGGTTTCATCTCTAATAATAACAGCTTGATCTGGTTCAATGCGATCACCAAGAGCAACTGAAAAGGAAGTAAAAAGTGGTATGTGAAGACTTGCATAAATATAAAATCCGTTTTTTACATTTAGAAATTATGCATTCATATTAAAAATTCATATAAATTTACAAAAATACCTGATGCAGCTATGAGAATTAATACCACTGATCTCCTCATCCTGAATTTACTGATCAGCTATGCCTCTGTTCACAATCCTTTAATATAAGGTGTTGCTATTTGTTTCTGAGCAGTCTAGTACCACTTGTCACGTCAACATACGTGCATGCTTATGATGTTGTTGAGTGTGGTAAAAAGTGTTGCCCCCTTGTGGCGTGTGTGCAGACCCTCTGGTGTCATAGGTTGATCTAAACCATTTTCTTCTCCGTTTAGCTCTGAGAAGGTTTTTGTATGGTGTGTACATGCATTATCAGCCGAGGGTGAGGAGGTGTAGCTGTTTGATTTTGTCCTGACTCCATGATTAGAACCAGGAATTCCGGCGCAGAGATGAGATAATGTCGATACCACTGTAGATTATTAATTGACACAGTGAACTGGTATTTACAAGAGATCTTACTTTTCCATTGCATGGACTGCAGGAGATGTTGGGGTTATGCTGTCTTGTATACTGGCACCTGAGAAGAATGTTAAATTAGCAAGTCAAATCAAGTCACATTTAT